AATTTAAGTTTAATAATGAAATAATTTATTTTTCGTTTAATCATATAACATTTTATAAAGATAATAATTAAGTATTATGTTAGAACTTAATGATTATCCTAATTATATTTTATATTTTTTATATATAAAATAAGATGTTTATCATGTATTTGGTTATGTTTATCTGCAGTTAGTTACACGGATTCAGATATGAAGCATTAATAAGTTGTATTTACGCACAATCTACTTGTAATCTTAAGTTTTAAGTAATATGCATTAATAAACAGTATTTTATGCATAAAAAGTGGTTTTTAAGAGTTTTTGTCAAATGCTTTATAATATAGTATAAATTCGAGAAATAATCTAAAATAATAATATAACAAGATAATTAAAAAGTAAACTTATTAAAACAAAATACAAAAACTTGTTTACAAATTTACAAGAAACGAAAAAATAAAACAAAATTAATAAATCTGTTTTATAATAATCGATTTATATTTTTTTATATCAATTTTAACTTATATGTTTTACAAATTTATTAAAAAAATGATTAATAAAACAATAAAAAAATAACAAAAAAATAACAAAAAAATAATGTAAATAAGAACTTGGATTCTTGTTCAAATATCTGAGCGGACAAGAACTTTCGTGAGACAGTGAATGTTGTTATAAAACCTCAACAAAAACTTTTATTATAGATGCTTTAATATTTTGTTCTCCTTTATTATTGGAAAAGACCAAAAAATTAAACTCTATTTCCTTCATCCATCCTTGTATTCTCTCCCAAAAATGAAGAGGTTAGAGTGTGAATTCTCCAAAAAAGGGTCTTCATCTTCCCTTGAAACCATGAAAGATTCTGCTGACGAGCAACTAAAGGTTTCTCGTCAACGACTAGATGGAAATTCATCCAAGAATAGCTCGAACAAATCCATCAACCAAACTCATGACCACCCAAAAGTTCCCCGACTACGGTGGTCAACTGAGCTTCATCGATGTTTTGAAAACGCAGTTGAAAGGCTCGGTGGTGCTGAAAGTATATAAATCTCTCTCTCTCTCTCTCTCTCTCTCTCTCCCTCCCCTCACTCTAAATATGCGTTAATTTTTAACTTTTGGTATTACAATTTGTGCTACGACTACGAGAATGAACTCTCAAGGCATACCCTTTTTGTGGCTTAGCTTATAAAGTTGATTTAATATGTATGATTTTTGGTAGGGGCAACTCCGAAAATGGTATTGCAGATGATGAATGTAAAGGGAGTATCTATATCCCACATCAAGAGCCATCTTCAGGTTCGTTATATTATAACATAATATACATATAAGAATTCTGAATTTTTGCTCGAGTTTGAATACGATTGATCAACTTATATGCAAATATCGTATTTTATTAAAMAGATGTCCAGAAGCATGAAAAAGGATCTGGTTCTTAAAGGTATTTGCACCGATTGTTTATTTAATCTATTTTAATATTTTTTTTCCGATTTTCTATTAATTATATTTCTTGTTTTGTTAGTAGCTTCGATAACATTACTATACGTTACAATGTGTTTTTTATATTTTACTTTTTAGGGATAGACGATTTGTGAGTCGAACCAATTCAATACCGACACGATGTCGATCCAAAGATCTAAATTTTCATTTTACATTCAATTCGTGAAATATAACTCTAAGAACGAATTTGATCAGATCTAGTTGTTGTTCAAAAAAAAGTCTAGTTATGAACTTAAAACTCCAATAAATAAACGAGTCTTGGTTAAGTGTAACAAATTATTAAATTTCGTTTTACGTTACATAAAATATCATCCTTTTAAAAATAAAATAAAAAGAAATTTTGTAGAAGCAAGTAAAAGTTTAAAACTCTCAAGAGTATTTACATTTTTTTATCAAATAGTATGATTTAAGGTATTTAGTGAAAGTTGATTACAGACAATCTCAACCGGTCTCATATAGAATCTGTCTTTTAGGACACTAATATGATGGGACACTTTTTTTGACTCACTCAGTAGATGAGGCTTAACCTAAAACTTGTCTTGTATTTAGCTAAATCACCTCACTCTATGCCAACTGAATTACATGACGGATGATATAATTAAAGGTATTGTTTTACATATGTCTGAAAAGGTACATGTGTAACTTTTTTTTTTGTTCACAAAGTGAAATGAAAAATAAGTGTAAACAAATTTCACATTCGTATGAGAATCTAAGTCTTTGAATAAGTCGATATTTTATTTAAAGGCTTAAAAAATGCAGAACTACAACTATCTTTAATTGATAGCTGACAAAAAGAAGAAGAAGCTCTTTCATCTATTTTTAACTAAATTCATCAACCTTCATATTTACCTTTATGCACGCTTTTAGTCATCTTCAGGGGTGGATGGCCATAGGGGTCTTGGCCTCTAGGCTTTTTTTCGGTATAAAGTGAAGCATCTCTAGTCCATTAAGGTTTTAAGTATAAAATATCTTTTGGGCCCCTCCACTTTGCTGATCCAGTCATTTGTGTTCCGCCTCTGGTCATATTCACAAACTATTATATAACTTCAATCAATTTCAGATATAAAAGTTATTTAGAAAATCTAGTAATAGTGATAGAAATAGTTAAATAAAGGTAGTTGAAGTTACATGTGCAATGTAACACAGTAGATCTTATTTGGCCTCTCTTGAATTTATTTTATAAATTTGTATTATGGATTATTATTGAAGAGTTTGCTGTTGGTTAGTATCATAGAGTATTTACCATATTAGTATGAGCTTAATATTTATTTTGTAACTGTAAATGTTTATCAGTTGATTATGAGTTAGTTTTATCAAATGTAAACATATTAATAAGTTGTAACATATATATAATTGTAATCAGATGTAGAAGTCGTATAATATAGTAAAAATTAATATCGTATGAATATATTCGTAATTGAAATTTGAAACCGGGTTAAAAATTGAAAAAGATAAACGTCTTGATTTGTTCATGTAAAATGGTTAATATGAATTTCTAAAAAGCTTCGAGATTCCATTTTTATTGTTTATAAAAAGGGTAAAATAAGAATATTATAAAATTTAAAACATTTTGAATGTATTAATGATTTCTACATAATGTTTTTGTGTATATATATATATATATATATATATATATATATATAGGGAGAAGGGAGCGATCAAATGCAAATCACTCAAATTTGTATAAACCGTATAAAACATTCTCATCCGTTGATTTCATTGTTTAATCTTATGAAATTTTTTTATGAAATTGTTTCATATAATACTTTTTTATTGAAGTTGTTTCATATATGGTTATGAAATTATTTCATATAATACTTATGAAATTTTAATAAAACTCTTTCATGTATTTTTCTAAAATTAATATAATAAAGATGATAATATCTTTGATTAACACTCTCCACAATAAAAATGATTAATCAACCTTTTATAATTACAAAAAAAATGAACAAAATAAAAAATTATGATTGATTGAATGAGGTTTATACAAATAACGTGATTTACAAAATAAATATTATATATATATATATATATATATATATATNGGGGGGGGGGGAGACGATCGTTCAAGCGAAAGTCACAAATAATTTTAAACTATGAAACTAATTTTATAATGAATATTCATTGATAAGTATAAACTATATATACATATATTTTGTCAATAATTATATATTCATCGATGAATATATACCAATAATTATTGATAAATATATTGTAACACCTCAAGAAAATATTTGTATATAAACATATTACAAAATAGCCAACAACTTTTCTCACAAAATCTCTATACAACACATGAATAATTAACAAGTATTCAGATACAAAAGACCAACATCCTATCCCCATAACTCATGCAAACATATATAACACTTCACAATTTCCCTTTCCCCTTGTCTTCTGGTTGTGTCCGACCTGTAATGCACATTTTTGAAACACAAAGTGAGGGTTAGACCTTGAGATCTAGTGAGAAATCCATTTGACGTAGTTACTAGGTGAATAATCACCAAATCACATTTACGAACACATATTGGTAAAGCAACAAATATACATCATTTTGCTATAATGGACCTCATTTATCGCATCAAAATAATCAAATTACTTAATAAACACATCTTGAGTAAACTTGTCGCATCATATAACTTCTCGCATGACATGATGAGATAATCCCATTTCCTCACAACACACTAGTGCGAGGACCACAACTCATCGCATCACATTGTTGTGATAAACCAATCTTGTCGCATCACATGGTGCGATAAACTCATTCATCGCATCATATAGGTGCGATAACTACTTTTTATCGCATCAGTAGAGTTATCGCATCACATAGATGCAACCACTCCGAGTCCTCACATCATAAGGATGTGATAACATTGAATATGATCAAAAACACAGATTTTATAACTCATTAATTATGCCAACCTTATTCTGGTATACATCTCCTTAATATGTCACTCTTATCCAATATACACTTCTTCTTGATATGCCACCCTTATAACCAAAATACACCTCTCCTTGTTATGTCACTCTTATTTCGACACATGATATAACTAACATAACAAAAAACCTACGTTTATGCTAATTATAGCATTCAAAATAGTTTTATATCAACAATTCACATATAGAAGCATATAGTTCTACCTCCAATTTCCAAATAAGAAAAGTTGGTAAAATTAAACTCACCTTATATAATTCACGTAGATGAAGATGAAATAGCAACAATTTCCACGTAAAAATCACAGAGTCAATTTTGTTCTTTCTTCCTTTTTAGATCTTGAGTAAATAAGAATATCGTCGATAAATACAATAACAAATTTATCTTACATACCCGGTTCATTAAATCCATAAAACTCCACTGGGACATTTGTTAGACCGAACGTCATGACCAAAAACTCATGATGTCCATATATGGTTCGGAACGCTGTTTTGGCAATGTCTTCAACTTTGATTTTCAGCTGGTGATACCCTGACCATAAATCGATCTTGGAGAAATAACTTGTTCCAACTAATTGTCAAACAAATAATCAATTCTTGATAAAGGATATTTATTATTTATTGTCAGCTTATTCATCTTCCGATAATCAATGCACATCATCATTGTCTCATTCTTCTTTTTAACAAATAACACCGGAGCACCCCAAAGAGATGTACTAAGTATGATAAAGCCCTTATCAAGCAATTATTCTAATTAGGCCATTAAATCTTTTAATTATGAAGTTGCCAAACGATATGGAGTTTTAGCCACAGGTGGTGTCCTAGGCGTTAAATCAATTCTAAACTCCATGGATCGATCAGGTGGTAAATTAGTTAGATCTTCTAGAAACACTTCAGGATATTCATTGACAATAGGAATCGATTCTTGTTTACTCTTTTCTTTCTTTGATTCGACTACATAGGCTAGAAAACTTTGACACCCTTTCTACACATATTTTCTGGTTCTCATGACATATATCAAGCTGTTATGATGATCCTGCCGATCACCATAAATCACAATCGACACTTTTTTCGGTAAATCAATACTGATCATCTTTTTATTGCACATAATACTGGCCTGATTTTCTGCAAACCAATCCATGCCCACCATAACATCAAATTCTCTCATTGGTACAATGAATAGATGAATTGGCAACCCACATCCCTCAATTTCAATTTGACAATTATCAAAAACATGGATAACAGATACTTGGCTATTATTAACAGTATCAACTACTAAAGTATAGTCAAGGGGCACAGAGTTCACATATAGACACCCTACAAATAGAGGTGATACAAATGAATAATTTGCACCAGAATCAAATAGCACTTTGACATAAATAGAGTTGATAAGAAAGGTACCTATTACCACATCAGGGGTTTCCTCTGCCTCTCCTTTTGTCTTCTAAAAAGATCGGTCCTCACCCTTTCCTATTCATCTATTCGGATATTGACTCCCCATGCGTACTCGGAGTATTTCCACCTAAAGTCAATTTTGGAGTTTTGAACTGGACATGTGATATCTCTGGCACAGTCTTTCACTAAATCATAAGACATGACGATTCTCTGTCTTTATAAATTTTGGTCTTTTGTATTCAGTAGTAAAAAGAGCCTTCTCATTTTCTTTTCTCAACCACCTTCAATAAATTTTGGTCTTCTGTATATAGTATCTAATGCTAGAGGAAATGTAGAAGGATTCATGGCAATCACGAACTCTCGTATTGAAGCCTTTAACCCCTAGGTATACCTTTCAATTTTACGAGATTCTGACAAAATGTAATGTTCTGCAAATCGGCAGTGTTCCATAAATTTCTCAGTATACTTTG